CCTGGAATCGACTTCCGTCATCAGTGGTGTCATGTCAATCGGTCCAGACATATAAGCGTGAGTTAGTCCTAGTGCGGAGCTCCCTTTATCCGGACTTATGCTAAAGATAGCTCACCCTGACCCCCAAGAAAAAGAGGCTGCGTCATCTGTCTTTCCTTTCTGTAATTCCAAAGAACTCCGATACGGTCAAACCGGTAACAGTACCAACTCCCAGGCTAGTCAGTCCCAAGACAGAACACACCAATACCAAGACACTTCACTGGTGAAAGCCTCCTCACACCCCGAAAGTTGAACCTAGAACTCTGCGTTTTCTAAGTTTCTTTAACCGGGTTTTCTCAGTCGAGCTGGAAAACAGAAAAAAAGAAGAGATGTCTTCTTATATCATATCAGGTTACAGAACGTGCGGCTTGAGCCAGCGAGAGTCCAGTTTCTCTTCGAGTGGGCGTGAATATCCCCCCATGATTCAACCGTCCGGTATTCCAGTACTTTAGTTCACCAAGGATGGTTTGCTAGTCCACGGATTGCAGAGTAAGATATCGGGATCACTACTGGACAAACCAGCCGTCTCACGATTAGAAGTCTTGAAGTATTACACGTGTGCGTGGCTAGGCCTAATGGTCCGGGATCTTAGTGGTTTCCAGGATTTCTTCTGGTCCTGCATCCCGGTGAACCGGGTACGGACATAGCTCCATTGCATTAACTACTTCTTGGGGGAGGCTGTTTGCAGTATTCGGAATAGGAATCGAAATCGAATAGCGCGAACCCGGTATCGGACTGAAAACCCACTGAATAGCGCCAAGTCAGGTAGAACCAAGACGAGCTGTGGAGACAGTTCTATTCAGAAAACAATTCGTGGAAATATATATTACAAGCAACAAACAATCATTGGTCAATTCTTGAATGTCCAATCGAGAAGGATGTGGTTTATCTGTTTGCCTTCTTTTACTCAGCCAATCCGGATGATGCCCATTGAGACCACAGGGTTGGTTGGTTATCCCGCTTCTTGATTGGTTACCTGGAAACTTTACCGCGGTGCGTGCGTACTCGTTACACGATCACCACATTATTCAAAAGAGGAATGAACTTGTGGATGATAAAGTACTGACCGACTAGTGTACGGGCAGGCAGTTTGAATACTAGTGCACACAAGGAAGTCATCGACCCTGCCGGAATTGAAGAGATTTTACAGTAGGGAGATGTCACTCTTGTGCGGCGGGTTTCAAGAGGGTACAGATTCAAGATGGAAAGGAGAGTGAGGTAAGGGGTGAAGGACAAGCCATGCACAAGTCTTGTTGCTCTTCGCTGTACACGCTCGAGGGCCGTACAACCGCTCACCAAGCGGAAGTGAGAAATTTGACTCCCATATCCCAATAAGGATCGAATGTACGTGCTATAGACAATATGAAAATCATCCCTATCTATTCTGGGAAATGAGCGTCTTAGGATATTAAGAACACAGAAGGCGGATCTATGTGGTGATTCGGATCTACGAGATTACGCCTGCCCTGGAGCAGCGCGGTACAATTTCCGGACATTGGTAGTCAATCGACCTTCAGCGCTGACGCCAGTAGCACGTGCACAGCCTCCGGATGCACATCATTGGTGAACTGTTCCAGCCAATCAGATACAATGCAGAGAGGAGCAGTATTACGCAAGATGTGATGCAATATGATTGGTGGAAACTAAGGTAACCAATGATCTTCTTTTGTGCACGTATATATTCACTTTCATTTCCTTCAATAAAAGACTTTGTGATTCGCCTGTCTTGTGGCCGTTTTCCTCGCGTCTCGATCCTGCGGGTTATTGCGAGTTCGAGCCATTGCGGTCTAGTGCCACCGGATTTCTAATTCATGTTCCGTGATTCCTTTGCGTAGTTCGTGTCCTGAATTCTGTGCGTAATTCCACTACTACTACTTCTACGATCACCACAANCACAAATTGGCATCGCGCAATGGAGCTTCCAAGTATTGAACAATTGAACCTGCAAGCTAGTCCGTCCGAGATCGATGAATGGGTAGAGCGATTCGAACTGTGGTGCAATATTCGAAAATGTGTTTTGCAAAACCAATCGGCTCTATTTCTCACTGCTGGCGGCCGTGACTTGTATTCGCTGCTGAAAAACCTGGCGTTTCCCGAGGCTCCCGTCAAACTACCATACGAGTCCTTGAAATCGCTCCTGCTCAACCACCTGCCACCTATTGAATTCCAAGCCCTCAAACGTGCTAAATTCAATTCCATGATCCGTGCTGACCACATGTCTTGCCGTGATTTCATTCTGCAGCTAAACAGACAGGCATCACACTGCAATTACGGCGATCGTTTGGAAGAACAGATGTGTGACCGTTTGGTAGCGGGCATCAACAATCTCACTCTGAAACGCAAGTTACTGGAGAAGAAGGATTTAATTTTTGCCGAAGCTCGGAGAATGTGTGAACAGCATGATGACTTGATGAAGGCTACTTCCAGCGAAGCAGTCACATTATTCTAAAGGCAGAAGACTCCACCGAGTCGACCGCCAACGGCCAAACGTGCACCAAAGCCGCAGAAAGATTCCCCAGGTAACGAAAAACGAATCAATCCATGTTTGTCTTGTGGAGATCACCACCTACGCTCCAATTGCCGCTTTCGTAATGCCAAATGTTATGCTTGCGGAAAAATGGGCCACATTAGGAGAGTATGTAAACAAACTCGTTGCAATCTTACAGTCAAATGCTTCAAACGACACACACCTTGTGCTCTCTCTACGTTCGGAAGGCCCAACCACCCAATTTCTGTACCGAGATGTGACATTACAATCTGGTACAACTCACAAATTTATTGTTGACACGGAAAGTACGGAATCTATTATTTTTAATGCTGTGCTTCGATCCATGTGCCCCCAAGCAAAACTCCAACCGACATTCATGCGAATTCTTGGTGTAACTGGACACCAATTGCCATTGATTCGCGAGGTTTCATTGACGGTTCACTCAACAGAAAATCGCCTTGTCCCAATCCGCTTCCTTATTGCGAAAAAGAGTCCATCCATACTTGGCCTAACTGCAATTCGCGCTCTGAACCATTCTATGTCGCTCCATACGAGTTCCCTGCCCAATGTGCACACCCGTCTACAGCGACTGATTGTGCAATGTTCAAATAACACAGGAAGCATGAAAGTTCGACTGGCCAAACTGGAAGTTGAGGGAGAACCTATCTTTTTGAAACGCCGTGTCATCCCCTATGGCCGGCGTGAAGGTGTATTGAAAGCTCTTGAGAAAATGGAGCATGACGGCATCCTCACTCGAGTAATATCCAGCGCGTGGGCAACACCAATTGTGATCACAATTAAAAGCGATGGTAAGACACCAAGAATTTGTGATGACTACAGACTAACACTCAACCTCCGGCTGCGAAAGTGTGCGACCACTACCATGGAACCAGAGGATTTCAAGAAAGCTTTGCATGGCAGCACATGTTTTTCGAAGATTAACTTGGCTGACGCCTACCTCCAGATCTCGCTTGATCCCGCATGCCGCTAATTCATCACGATCAATAAACCAGAACAACTTTCTACCATTTGGTCTTCACACATCCTGCGGCATATTCCAGGCGGCCATAGACGAAGTCATTCATGAACTTGATGGCATCCTAGCGTACTAGGATGATGTCATTGTTTTTGGTGCAACAAAAGCCGAAAATGACAAACGCCTCACTAATCTCCTGGAACGTTTCGCCCAAAAGAACGTGTCAATTTGTGTTTCCAAGTGCATGTTCAGTTCCCCCGAATTGGAGTTCCTAGGCTTCACAGTTGATGAAAAAGGCTAACGCTCTGATTAAAGTCGCTTTCATCCACTGACTGAATTGGAGTCACCAAGAGACCAAAACCAACTCAGATCCATCACGGGAAGCCCCCAATACTATTCGCGTTTCATCCCTAACTTCGCCACAAAAGTTCAACCACTGTCTGCCGCCCAGTCACGTGCAGACTGGAAATGGACGGCCGAGTGTGAACGAATTCTGCGTGAAACCATACAGCTGATAACAAACCGACCGGTACTCGCCTCGTTCTGTCCGACGAAACGTTCAACTGTGATCACTGACGCATCAGACGTGGGCATTGGTGCTGTACTCGAACAAGATGGATGTCAGATTATCTGCATTTCTCGTCTACTGAATGCAGCAGAGCGAGGATATTCACAAACGCAGAAAGAAGCGTTGGCTCTCTATTGGGCCTTCAGACGTAGCACAAATACCTGGTGGTACTGCGCTTCACGATAGTTATTGACCATAAAGCACTACAATACATATTCAGCCCACTGAAGTCAATTTATAAACCGACGGCGGCGATGATCCAACGATGCAGTATAGCATTAGCTGCATACGACTACGATATCGTGCACCGGCCGGGCAAAACAATCCGTCAAGCAAACTTTCGCTCACGATGGTTCAAACTCGCGGCGGCTAAGAAATGCTATTTCATTGCTACTGCCTCCCCGGCATCACGAGAGGAAATACGCCGATACACCAAACGATACTATGCAGCAATCATCACTGCACTACCGAAAGGATGGCATCCGGACGTAAAACGGAAGTTTGTGGCATTCTACGCACATCGGGAAGAAATCAGCGTACAACCTGATGGAATACTTTGCCGTAACGATCGACTGATTATACCACCTCCGCTGCGCAAGGCAGTGCTA